TGGAGGACGTTATTATTTATTTTTGACTTATGTGGTAGAATTAGTCGAGAGACCTAAAAGGCGATAGTTTACCTTACGACGAATGTCAATAAGAACTTATATCTCCTCAATTTGTTCATATATCATGCAATACTAAGCAACTTAGAACATTCAAATGTTAGGTGATTTTATCTCATCTATCCAGATTCCGGTGATTTAATGTTAGGTTCACAATTTGAAATCCAATGGAGAATGTACATGTCTTCTTCATTTAAATACAAATTACCATTTAAGCCACCGCAATAGCAACAATAATATATTCAGCGTGACCCCCCATAAATAGGGTCTAAGGAGGATATGATATACATCGACTTTATCCTTACCTTGTGAGATAGAGAGGTTATTTTCGATAGACTACCTTATAAACCATTGATAGTGCGTAAAAATTTGTAAATCTACTTATTTCAGAATATTTAAAGTTTCATATGATTGAAGTTCAATTATTATTTTTCTGAAGTTTATGCATATATAGCTGAAGTTCAACTAGTGTTGTGTGAACTTTAGGCAAGAAATGTTTGAACTTCAACCGTATGAAATTATTCCAAAGTAGAAAAATGTGCAAAAATGTAAAAATTTAATACAAATTAAATAGCGATGTTGAAATAGGGTGCCCCTACAATAGCCAATAAGATGCAAAACAAAAAGATCTCTCAGCTCCTTACAATTTTATGAGTTGCATTTATATATATGTATATATATTGAAAAATAAAAAGGCATAATACATAAATATGAGTTCAGAGCCAAAAGAACAAAAAAAATTATCAAAAATTCCAAAAGGACCCATCAAATTTTTTTAAAACCAAAAGGGCAAAATCGCTCCTGACGAAGTGATTTCCCTTTGACACAATGACGAAAAATCACTGCCCTAGCAACGATTTTGTAATTTTTATTATTTTTTTTACTAAAAAGGGCAGCGATTTTGTAAAAAGAAAATTTTGTTTTATTAAAAATCTCGGCCACAACAACGATTTTGTAATTTTTTTTAAAATTAAAATGGCAGCGATTTTAAGTCAGAAATTTTTTTTCCTTACACATCGCTGCAGGGGCAGCTTTTTTCATGCCTAGTGCTATTATTTTCATACCTATTGTTAATTATTACTCCCTCCGTCCCATATTATAAGTCACCCCTTTCTAAAAATAGTTGGACCACAATATATGTCATTTTATAAAATTTATGCATAAATTACCATAATTTGCCCATTATACCCTTGATTGATTAATTAATTAATCTTGAAAATGTATTTACTTTGACTAACCTAGGAAATCTACAAGTAATTAATTTCATTGGGAGAGTAATTCATTCATTAATTAACTATTTTCTTTATTCACTACTTATTCTATAAAATCTTATTTTGAAAAAAAAATATCAACAAACAAATTAAAAATAAAAGATGAAAAAAAATTCAAAAATAATTTTGAAAGTTGAAGCTTCAACAATTTTTATCTAAGAAGATGACATTTCAAAAAGTTCAAAGGATGTAAAACTAGAAGACTCAACCAAAACATGTGAAGGCCAAATTGAGAAAAATCAAGATCCAAATAAAGGAGTTATGCACCATTTAAATAATAATAAAAATGATTTGTCGAACTAGAACTAAAATTCATTTGTCGTCTAATTTCATTATCAATAACATCAGATTCAGCAGAAAAAATTTAGATCAATTTAAAGTAATGGAATTTGAATATTTTGTGATGTTGTCATGTTTGCTTTGAAAATTTATATATAAAAATATATAAAAAAAAACATTTTACACAAAATATATAGGAAAATTGAGGTGGGAAAAACTTGTTTTTAAAATTTTTTTGGATCAATTGGTGAAAAAATTTGGATCCAAAAAGTAAAATTTAAATAGTCATCCAAATACATTTATATTTTTGAAAATCTAACATTTCATCATTTATTACAAAGTTGTCATAAACAAACATTAAATAAGGGCATAAGGGTAAAATTACCTTATTTCTTAATGCAAGTGCAAATGAAAAAGATGACTTATAATATGGGACGGAGGGAATAATAATATAAAAATGATAGACAAGACAGACAATATACTCAATAAAATTGTTGAAGCATGAGGAAAATTGAATTATATATCATAAATAATAATAAAAGAATATATTTTTAAAAAATTCTTAACCAAAATCGCTGACAAAAGTTGATTGACAAAAGTTGTCGTACGTTAAAAAAAATAAAAATCTCTGCTAAGATCGCTGCCTTAGCAGCGATTTTCTCAAAAAAAAATCTTTTTTTCTTGATTTTGGTTAAGAATTTTAAAAAAAAAAGTTTTTCTTTTTAATTTAATATTCTTTTATTATTATTTATGATATATAATTCAGTTTTCCTCATGCTTCAACAATTTTATTGAGTATATTGTCCGTCTTGTTTATCATTTTATATTATTAATAATTAACAATAGGCATAAAAATAATAGCACTAGGCATGAAAAACACTGCCCCTGCGCGATGTGTAAGGAAAAAAAAAATCTGACTACAGCAGCGAAAAAAAATAGTAGCGATTTTTCGTCAATGTGTCAGAGGGAAATTGCTTCGTCAGGAGTGATTTTGCCCTTTTGGTTTTAAAAAAATTTGATGTACCCTTTTGGAATTTTTGACAATTTTTTTTGCCCTTTTGGCTCCGGACTCACATAAATATGTCTTTTAATTTGCTTCAAGTGACATTTATGTCCTATAAGATTGAACAAGTCAAAACACATGTCCTACATAACATAATACATGTAGGACACAAAATTGTCATGTAGGACGAATGTATCTATTTGTTCAATTTTACACAAGTTTCAACGTCTACTTGAGCACACCCAAAGCTAAAGGTCATAGTTACTGATTGAATCTAAGTTAAGAGTCATATTTATATATTATGCCAAATTAAAAATATATACTTTACCATGCGGACTGCATAAAAACAAAGCCTATACAAAAATATATGTTATTTATGTGTTGATTTGACGTAAATATCGAATAAGATAAAAAAAAATATCCCCTTATATACTCTAATTCTTGGTTAATTTTGACTGTTTTGGTATGGAAATATATCATAATCCTAGCTAGTATATTCTGTAACAAAAGGCTATTGCCATGATCTTGATTGTACCTACCTAAAATATCTTCTTTGACAAGACTAATGAAATTTCAATTATTCATCTTTTTATGAAGTTTCCTTTTTGTTATATTAAAGGAACTCAGCTTCATTTATTTGTAATATATACATTGGTGGAAGGGGTCTATGGAAAAAAAAAATAGTTCTTATTTTAAAAAAGAGAAAAGAAGAGTATGCTCTCTAGAAAATTTGCTCAGAGTATTTAGGTCATTTGCTATTTTGAAACCTCTTTGTAAATCCTTTGTTGAAGAAAGAACAAAAATCAATGTGGTTGTGTTGCTATTAGCATTTCACTAGCGTTTAACCATAAATTTTAAAAGTAAATTTTAAAAATCTATCTTCAAAGATTTGTTTGATCATGAAATTTAATCAGGTTATGAAAATATTCTTAAGTTCCTAAAAATTGGCTCAGGCTAATTTTTGAGACTTGCCCTCATATATATTTTTAAAAAAGTTCAAGTAAAATATATATCAACACTAAAAAAAAAACACAGAATTTTAGTCACATAAGAAATTGTGGCTTACACCAACCGTGTGGCTAACACTACTTTGCACAGTTCATAAAGGGAAAAGAGAGGATGAGACAATAAAAGGAAACTTATACAAATCCCACTAGTTCAAGAGTTAATTATTTAGATACATTTTATTTGCAGTATTATGTATCTTACTAAATTTTGATGCATTTAGATAAGTCCAAATACATCTATCTCGAGATACATGACATCAAAACTAGGTGTAATTCGCTCTAAAAACATTGTATCCCAGTGGATTCGCATGTATTAGAGATACATAACAAATCTTGCTCAGCTTCCTTGTCTCTCCCATTTCACTCGTCATTCTCCTATGTATCTAGTATTCCAGATACATATGAACCACACTAGATGCATAGATAAATCTTGCTCGCTTCTCTTCCTAGTTTAGTGTATCTTATAGCAAAAATACACATATCTAAGTGTATTTTCCTCAATATTTGGTAGGTAATTCTTAATCAATGGTAAGATACATAATATTTTGAAAGTGTAGATAATAATAGTATATATGGTAGTGAAGTATGTCTAATTATGTAGTTTTTCCGACAATAAACACGAATTGCAAGTTCATATGTGTAAGTCGTGACTCACGACTAACTCAACATCTTTTTCCATGTTAGTATATAATTAACCTTTTCCCACATGCTCCCGTATGAACATTTAATGTTAAGACACACGATTTGAAACTCAATGGATAATGATCATGCCTCTTTTGCTTTCTTCATTTAAATACCACGCTTCCATACTTGGGATGTTCAAACTTGTGATGGACACCTAACCTACAAATCACGCATTGCATTTTTACCACAGATGTTCAAACTCGTAACAAGCACCACGTTCAACCATTTTTGCCTGAACTTCAGGTAAGAAATGCTTGAACTTCATCCATATGTAACTTCAGACACCGCATGTCTGAAGTTGATCCAAAACAGGCAGATGTGCCCAAAAACATTAAAAGTGGATACATGTTAAATAGCGATGTCCAAATAGAGTACCCGGTGGCATTTTTACAATAGCCAATAGGTGAAATTGGATATTCTAAATCACAGTTCTTACAAAGTACAAGATGCAAAACAGAAGAATACTGGTCATTTCACAGAAATTGTCCAGCAAACTTATATACATCACAAATCCTGCTTATATATGTTTAAAAAGCGAGGATTTTGTTTTACAAGAACGACCATTATGATGCGATGTCAACTATAATCATGGTCAAACTGTGAGCCATACCTCAGCTAACGGAACATTACATAATGCCAGAGCTTTAAGAAAGTAAGCTCAAGAAGAAGAAATTTTCATATTATTAGCAAGTCACAGTAACGAGATCAACTCATACAGATGACATCGTTCATGGATGAGCAACTATACATCTGTCCACGACGAGGTACATTATTTAGTGGTTAGCTAGTGGACATAAAGTATTATGTCAATTTGTATAGCTCTGAGATGATGTTTTCACATTGAACTCCTACCTGAAACCTGGCACTGAGATAGCCACAAATCTATATGTTCAACAATCTTTTCCCTTACTTTACGAACTGCATCAGGGGAACTGCAGTTTTTAGCGTCACCTGTGATATGAAAGAATTGTCATGAAATGAATCATGGTTCATTGAGTTTGAAGGAAGGAACTTCACGAAGCATCATTTCTAAGACAAGTTGCTTATCAATGCACACAACCATGCTGGTAAACTTTGTGACATGATGTGCAAAGAAGCTTCTAGAATTGGAATGCACTACAGTTAATCAGGGTGTTGTTCTTGTCATGTGTGGAGACCGGAAGCTATATTCAGACAGTTATCCAATCTGATGCTAACTTTGATTAATTTTTTATTTTGTGAGCGAACTTACGGTATCCAACTATTGTTGTGACTTGTGAGATTGTTCATGTACAACTGTAAGAACAAAAGTGTGGATGCTCTGCCATCACTACGTATGAAAAAGTTGGAGAAATTATACCTTCCCGATCAGTAAAACCTCTGCTTGTGAAGTACAGATAGGATTAAACAAATTACAAACTAAAGAAAGAAAAACATATACCCTGGAACTATGGTCATTGAGTTTTTTTAACAAGTCAAAATGCTTTATTAATCAACAGATACGGGTCAGGGTTTACAATTAGTGTATCTGGACCCCAATCACATTCTACTAGCAAACCTCTACCAATAATTTATACCGAAAGATATCTTTTAAGTATGGTAGAATGAAACAAAAGCAAGTTTTTTATGCTCCTCAAATCCCTCTCAATGCCTTACACATTCAAATTCCTATTCCTCTTTCCCAAAATTGCCCAAAAAGACAAGACAACAAAGTTATTTTAGACTATGCTTTTCTTTACCTTTACAATTCTCTTTAGCCTCAAACTCGCAACTACTCTGCCACAATCTCTAATGACACTCAACTTGATGTCAATAAACAAAAGACAAGGTCAAAGCTGTGAAGATATCCACGATTGCACTTAAACATGGCTTGCATCTTCTTCACACTCGTTATACAAAGAGCCTGTTTGGATGGACCCATAAGTTAGGAATGGCTTATACTTGTTATTTTGGCTTAAAAGCAAGTGCTTAAAAAGCACCTTTTTTGTCTTACCCAAACACTACAAAAGTGCTTAAACGCTATTTCAGCTTAAAGGCACCTAAAATAAGCCAATCCAAACAGGCTCAAAATCTATTTGTTCCTTCTAAGATCGCATTTCACGTTGCAAACCAGTGAAAGAAGGCAACTTTCTTTGACACCTTGGTTATCCTAATTGCCTTCCACAAGCCATCTTGTTCACCCCCTTTGGATAATCCTAGGTGATAGGATCTTACAGTGTCTATTATTGACATTCACAATTAATTTCATATTGCAAGTGCTATCAATGTATGCAGCAGTTCAGAGTCATAGTTGAGAACAACAAAATTAGAGAGGTAAAAGAAAATAAGTAAAATAATTGTAGCAGTGACCAAAGAGACCAAATTAAGAGCAAAATAAAAGAACTGCAAACAAAGAAACGGAAAGATGGGGGTTGAAGTAAGAGTATCCATCTCCAGCATATTAGTGGATATGCCAAACCAGTGAAATCTACACAGTTAACATTGAGATCTGATATATGCATACCTTCAGGTACTAAAGGAGACTGAGGGCAGCCCCGCATGTCAGTTCCATGGCCACAGTTATGGCAAGAGATTATGTAAGAAGGCACTGAAAGTTGAAAAAAGATCTCAGAAACAAGAAAAATACGTGAAGTACAACAATTTAAAGTGAGTATTCTAGCCTCAACAAAATTGTCACTTTCAGAAGTACTTTTAGCATAAGGTCATTGTGATCTGTCACTGTGAATTCAAGCACACACTTCTCTGAGAGAATCATATGATAGAAAGTCATTGTACATAACCCAACCACGTTGATACTAAGATCAAAAAGCAGATAAACCAATTATCAATTGTTGCAGACAAGTTTATAGGAAAATATATGAAGTTAAGATAGCAGATGAATGTTCAATAAAGTCCACACCTTCTAACCTGAATATAATAAAAAAGATTTCTTGTGGATGAAGAACGGTGCATTTTTCTCTTTGCATATTTTTTGAAAGATAGCATGGTCCATTTTACTTCAACAGATCTAAAACAACACATTAATAAAGACCATGCATCTGTCTTGGAGTACAACACTCGACCAGTCTAATTTCAAAATGGGCAGGCATGAAATTTCACTATTAGAGCAGCCTAAAAAACGTACACTCTGGGGAAGAAGTCTGTTTGGATGCATGTCGCCAGGGGTCCTGTGATCCATTGGTGAAGACAATCTTTGACCCTGCCAAAACAAAATTTTAACATAATGAAATTTGTAATTCCATAATTGTTCTGCATTTGAAGCAGGATTAAGCGAAAAAACAGATCTACTATTCATCCAACTAGAGCTCACACCCTCTCCAACATTTTTGAGGGATGAAAAATGTAAGCCTAAGGGAAAATGTTCTATTCTTTGATTTAAACAGGACCCCACAATCACATGCAAATCAAGGCTAGAGCCTAGAGGACATACACAGCATATGATAGAATGAGAGGCTAAAGCAGTAAGGACCCCAAGAACTAGGTGACAAATATCATACAAGGTCAAATTCCAACTGCCAGACATTATATTCAATCAGATATGAGTCCAACCTGAGAGTCATCAACCCCCAAAAGACAAAGGTTTTAAAATTTCAAAGATACAACATACACCTTCCATTCTAAAACACAGCCATTATATCAACTATTTATTGCCCCCCCACCCCCACCCCCCTTCAGTTGGTTGAGGTTATTATTTTCTTAACTTTAACCATTAAGACAAGTAATAAACTTAAGCCAACAATGATGTCATCACTTTGTGAAATGATCAGGAAGTGCCATGAATGTTGGGACCATTTAAAGTAATCCCAGACAATTTGATTTAGCTATATAATGTTTATAGCAAAGTAAAATTAGAAAAGGTCAACCACCTGAATCAAATAAAACAGCATGGGTAATGAATATTCTCTTATTAAGTGCAACCGAGTGGACAGCAGATCTATCCTCCTCCTTTTTTTTCCTTTTAAATAACTCAAGCATATCCTATGAACAAATATACCAAGTTGGGAAAAAATCACTAATAAGATTGCTAGAAATAACCATCGAATGATTACCAGCAATTTTGGTGCCTCCATAGTACAAGTTAGTTGCATCAACATCAGGATAGATACCGGCTCCAAAGACATTCCTGCACAGGTCCAAATGGTATCTGCAAGATGAATTTATTGAATTATAAAGTCAGTTCACCAGAGTCACACTAGACTAAACAAGTGGAAATAGAGCAGTTAAACAAAGCAAAGAAATATTCCTTAAATACTTCCAAGAGTAAGACACGTGCCTGGTATCAACTTTAGAAGAGCGAATACTATCATTCATGGGTGCAACCTGAAAATATGCAACTTCTGTGCAAACCTGGAACCACCACAAGCGGTTAGAAGTATCACCATTTACAACAGTGTTCTTCAGATTTTCCTGATCGTAGGTTTTGACGCTGACCCCAAAAGTCTTAACGTAATAGTCCTTTACATAGGTGGCATATGCATTCTGCAGATAAGAAATAGAATAAAGTGATAAACGATTAAAGAAACAGAGAATTGGCAACGTCTTCCACAAAACGAATGATTTTCTTTCTTTTTGGGTGATTGGATCATTTAACATGATGTTCTGATCACATTATGGAGTTGTAAATAAGCTGAAGTCCTTTTTTAACTGCAGAACACAAACAAACCCAAAAAGAAAACTTCCTGGAAAGCTAGCATATAACAGGATATCAACAATGAAATTTTGACAGAGATAACTTGAGATTTTCACTACCTATTGAACATAAACATCCATGTGAATATCTACTTATGTTGTTTCCCAATATAGAAATATACACTGTCAGAACCTAATCCAAGTGCAGGCGGAAAATTGTTTTCAATAACTTATTAAGTGGTTTGTTTAACTACTTACTGGTTCCACAAAAATACAAGGCATAACTGGATAAATATGGGTATCCACTCCAACAAAAACTTCTGTTCCTTATACCGAAGAATTCACTTCATGAATATTTTTGACAGGTTTCCTAAAGAAATGTGACTGATGTTTATTGTTTGTTCAAGCCAGCATATCCAAAAGCTGAGTTGCAATGCTAGTGCAAGTTCTACTTTTGTCTTTGCACTGTATACAAGATCATGCTTGTGTAAACTATGAACAAAGGTTCTCCTTTCTACCAAAATGAATGCCTTGTTTCTTAAAACAAGTCAAATTAACAATTTTCACCATTAACTTTCCAACCAATTTCTATACTCAACCTTGGAAGTTGGAATGTTTTTACTACATTGTAAACATCAATGTTTCATTTCAAAAAATGGATTAATCAGTCCTGTTTTCACTTTATGGTCAAGTCGGCTTTTGGTAAACAAGACAAATAATCAGTCAAGGGAGGAAGGGGGGAAGGGGATGCAATAAACAAAACCATACCACTAAATCTGCCCCGGACTTCTTTGCTTCAAGTAGTGGGATGCATAGTTTGTCTGGACTTCCATATTGAAACTAAAACATCAAAAACTCTCAATTAGGAAAATTACAAGCATTCAGTAGAGGATATCATATGAGTGTCTCATACATACTGCTGTAACTGCAGCATCTGCCACAAAGTACAGGAAGTCACCATCATTTCTCAGCTGCAAGAAAACAAAAGTTTGTCTATGAGACTAAGCGGATTCTCTTTCCGTCCCTCGTCATCGAGAGGAAGAATCGCTATCTATCTATCTATCTATCCATATACGTATCAACAAATGTGGTTCCAGGGATCGGTCGAAAACCCTAGAAATAAGTGCTAGGCTCCATGTCAACGATATGGTATAGTTTTTCTACAGATTATTGACAATAATCTCCTAATACATTATTCTGACAGTCTTCAGCAGCCCACATTTCAGCATATATCGTCACTGATATGTCACCACAGGTGTTAAGGGTTTCAGAGAACTCTTCTAGGAAATAAGTGAAAGAGCAATGCAGTGTGATATTAGTTTCCAGAGTTAACAAGGATACCTTCATCCATATGCTGCTTTAGGTGATTGAGAGGATGATATCAGAGAACTCTTCTAAAAGAAAACATGGAAATCACAGAAACAACCACAACCGACATAATAAACAAAAAAAAGTCACAAGTTTCATACCTCATCAGCGCCAAACAACGATTTAACGTCCTTGGGATTTGATGCAAGTCTTGCTTCTACTAGTTTGGTAATTTCTTGCAATGTTGTTTTACATTCTGGACCAGCAGATTCACCAACCTGTAGTAGGACAATCAGGAGTCAAATTCACTGATCCTTAAGAAATTATCTGAAAAATCCAAAAGAGTTTTTAACAGCAAACATTCTCGGTCACAGTGTCTCAAATTCAGGGTGTTTAGGTCTATTCTCTCGTAAGCTTTCTTTTGGGATATTTTCTCTTGAAAGTATTTCCCCTTCTAGCTTACCCAACCTAATGTTTAGGCATTTTTCATTTGGCTACTCCCATTTGGAGCATTAAACTTCTGCTGAACCTTGAAGGCTTTGAATGATTAAGGTAATTTTCATACTGACAATAGCTAAAGTGCTCTTAAGGAATAAGCAATTATTGAAAATATTTTGGTATTATGAGGAATTTAGAGTTTCAGTGTATGCATTATATCAGTTATTCCATCTTAGAGATTGTGGTTGTAATGGAAGCAGAGGCAATTGGCAGGTCATTGTGTGTGTGTTTTGATAAGAGTGGCAGGAAAACGCTTTTAGGTCATCTAAGTCACATTATTTAGTGTGTGTGGCTTTGCCTGCAACATAAGCATTTTCCAGTGAAGAATATCCTCTAATTATGCATGGGGAGGGTGGTTGAGACTTACATGTTATAAAGTACATAAGCTTATTATATAGCCTCACTTTCAGACTTGTATAGAGAGTTAAGAGGACTTTATTCTCAAATAATCTTCTTCCTCCTTTAGTGATTTGGGGACAGCTTGTGTTTTTTATTTTTCTCCCTTTTATTAGTACCATTAATTTTTGAAAGAATATTCTAGTAAGCTTGTTTGTTCTGGAAAACAAAACAACTTTTACAAACAAAAGTATTGTTTCCAGGAAAACAAAGCATAATCAAAAAGGTAATTTCTAAGGACAATTAACCTTACGCAGCCTCTATACCTCACAAAGGTAGGGGTAAGGTTTGTGTAAATCCCACCCTCCCCAGATTCCACTTGTGGGACTTCACTGATGATGTTATTGTTGTTATTTACAAAATAGACCTTTGGCCTAAGTCAACCCCAAAAGCAAGCTCACGAGATGAGGAGTCTCCAATACTATACAAAAGAGACCAAATCACCCATCCACAACCAATGTGGGAATTTTGACACACTCTTGAACACCCCAAACCTGCCAACGGGAGCGTAGATAACGTAAAGGTAACCAGAAATTGGGATGGGCTCTGATACCATGTCAAGAAATGGACATCGGGCCTAACTCAACCACAAAATCTAGTTCATGAGGTGAGGATTGTCCAAACTAATACCAAGTCCCCCGCCCAAAAACAAAATAAAATAGAAAAACTGTTTTACAATCTAAAAAACCACCTAAGTAAGACAGAAATACAATGAAGACCATCCAAAAGAGCTCCTTCTGTATAAGCATCTATTCCTGATAAAAAGAAAAACTGCATAAATCTATGTTGTTTGGACTCTTCAAAAAGGTCGATGGGTGCGTGTCGGGTCCTCCAAAAATAGTGTATTTTTGAAGGATCCAACACGGGTGCGGCAACATTTTTGGAGAGTCCGAGCAACTTAGGCATAAATATTAACAATCAAAGTAGCACAATTTTATTTTACCTGCTTGTCAAACTCTGAGAAACTGTAAACTGCTTGAACCACTGCAGAGCTTGCAAGGCTTCCACAAGTTAAGTGAGGAAACTTCAGGCGAAACCATGCACTTAGGGCTCCTGAATATGAAGTACCAAAGACAAACCATGGGTTCTCAATATTGGATCTGTTGAGTTTCACGTTCAAGGAGTCCTGCAACATATCAGAAATATTACAACATACCCACTATGGTTACCACAAACATATCAGAAATATTATCCACTGAAACACTCATCACGCAAAGGGGTAAGAAGCAGAGTCGGGAAGTGGAAAACTAAATCAGAGATGCAACCAATGGCTTATCCATTGTCATGCTATCGGATTAGAGATAGCAGTTAGGTAACCCCACGAGCTATCGCGCTAGATTGTAAAAGAAGTGGCATGCTTCAAATTCAGAAGGAATTACCACAGATAAAAGAAACAAGATTAAGATGCCAACCTGATAGAAATTCCTGAAAGCTGCTAAGTCAAAAAGTGCCTGTTTTGATGACAGATATTTCAGATTCCCAGTTGTTAAGGACTTGAAGGGTGTACTCTTCCCATAATACCGATGCTCAAGAGAAACGACAGCAGCTCCAAACTTCTTGGCTAAAACCTGTTAGACATGCAAGGTTCAGAAGTATTCTTCAGGCATAGTACATATTCCCATCCAGTCCTCAAACCGAACGAAGTAAACATAAGTCAGCTTATGCTTTAGCCCTCCATGACTCTACACGACAAGTCATTGTCACAGACAGAGCATGTATCTATGTGCTTGTTTTGTGTCAGCTAACCAAAATACTACAAGCTGGAACTCAATGCTGAGATTGTTTGGATTCAAAATAACCTCAGTATAAAATTTGCATTAATACATCGATGCTCGGTTACCATTTTTGTTTCTCATATAAATAAAATCACGTTCCACAAAAATTATGTGGGAAATCCTGTATAATTTTACACCGGACATGATGTGGAATACAAGTACTTGTATTAGCAATAAAAATACTAGCATCTGAAATGACAAACATATCTTTGTACCTTAATTATAAAAACTGAAAACATCATTGTATTAGATAGTAAAAATTCCAAATAATTTTGAATTTCATGGTAAGTTAAAACTTGTACAATGCCACCTCTCGACATTGGCGTCACAAAAGATTAGAAGTATTTCAAAAAGTGGACCATTTTCATTAAAACTTTGATCACCAAACAACACCTTACAAGCTTGCTTTGTGGTGATTTCAGAAAAAGTCAAGTCTTCCAAACCTTAGTAAAAGTCTCATTTGACAAAAAAGAGAAAGTGTGAAGAAGGTTAGCATTACATACTTCATCAAGTAAGATTTTTATCTGACCATAGCACTTTAAATGACAAAGAATTGATGTATAGGCTAAAGGTGTATTACTGGAGACTAATCTCTCTCTTTTTTTTTTTCTTTTTTTCAAATAAGACAAAAACTGCAAAATGCACAAAAGATGTATGGGAATAGACTAGTAAACACCTCCTGGAAAAAGAGAAAGTGTTCTCAGCGAAAAGTCCATTTGTGACTTTGATTTAGGTCTCCTATGAATCAAATAAGCACTTGTAATAACTCAGGTTATTTAGGATTATGAAGGCCATACTGGAAAATTATCTTTCTCCCCTGACAAACTTGCAGAACCTTTGGTTTGATAGGTTTAGAGATGAAACAAGTAAAATTCATCATTTTCATTAATGATGTACATATGTCAGGGCCTATTCTCTTTTTGCTAGCAGGCATCATAAATTCTAGTTCTCCGGTTATACCATACAAAAAAAATTATCCAGAGTATTAGGGTGTGTTTAGTATGGAGGAAAACATTTTTTTTTTTTCAATTTTCCATCTTTGGTTGATCAAATAAGTTGCTTAAAAATAAGGAAAATGACTTTCCCATTGGAAATAGGAAACACAAGTTCCATAAGTGGCATTCCACATTGATTGTATCCTCCATACCCTCCAACACAACCCACCTCCACCCCCATCCCGATCCCCATAATGTTTGCCTATATTATACAAAAATGCTTTTAGGACAATATTTTCTACTTACTTACCCAACACAAGAAAATAAACAAGAAACAGTCTCTATACATCCATGAGGTATGGGTAAGGCCGGTGTACATACCCTCCCCAGACCCCACCGTGTAGAACTACACTGGGTATGTTGTTGTTCCAATGCTTGTTCAGCATCAAAGACACCAACAGAGGAATTTTCATGGCACACTGCCTTGTCAAACATATAAGTCTCCACAAAGAAAACACAATATGAAAATGTTGAGGCGAGAGGCACTTGATTCCTTTATCTCAAAAAAGCATTACATCGGATTCAAATTGATATCGACTGAGATAGTTGAGTTAACACTCACATGAAAACATTTTGACAAACTTTAATAGTGATCCTTAAGTATAAAACCAGTATTGCAGTAAATGTAGAACTAGATATAATCATACAAAATACATATAGATCAACCATTTTTCCAAATGTTGCCTTAAGAACCTAGGTGACATGAAATGGAAGAACACTTCCCTTCCCATTTCCTTTTCCAACCCATACCGCCATGTAACCCCACCCATGGCAAAAAGGGAAGATAGAAAGTGAGTTGGGGAGTGGAGGTAAGAAAAAGGGGATGCCGGAAGGGACAATGACAAAGACCGATTGTCCCGATAAACAAAATCAAAGGATGAAACAAGAATTTTAAGAATGCATTCACTAGGAATAGTATCAGAAGTAAAGACTATCAACTTACACTGAGGTAATCGTTCGGTATCCCACTGCATGCAGATTCTCCACAAATTTTCAAAAATATCGGTCCATCAGGAATTCGGAAATGGTCAAGAAACTCATAGTACCTCTGTCCAAATGTACGATGATCCTACAAATTGCAGCACCGAGTTAAAGCTATACAATGGGTCAATCTACTGTAGCAAATTCCCTCCCTCACGCTCCCTCTCTCCCTAATTTACCACTTTGTTTGTCCCTCATCAGTACAAAATCACAACAACTTGTTGCAGCAAAAACAAAAATTCATCTAACGAAAAAACACTTTTATCTCTAAAAACTACAATTTCAAGGGTATATTATGACTTTCTCCAAGAAAAAATGGCGAACCCAAAAACAATTCTTCCCAAAAAATGCATTACACAAAATTCAATATAACACAAGAAAATTTCCATAAATCAAACTAAACGCTGTATATAAGTGAAAATCATACTACTTAACAAACTCTCTTTCCTAAAAATAAAAGCAAATTTCACAAAAAAGGTTTCCCCTTTGCAAAAGCTATACACAAAAAACATAAGTACATCAAAAACAAGAATCCGTCTAAAGGATTCATTTTTATTACCAAAAACTCTAATTTCAAGGGTATATCATGAGTTTTTCTAAGAAAAACAGTGAACCCAAGTTTGCATGCACTTCGGCTAATTCTACGGGATACTTGTCACGTCCCACCAACAATTTGTATCAGGTCAACTAATTTTACTGTAGGGAGCAGGTTAACTAATTTTGCGAGATACCTACCACCTCCCACCAGCAACAGATACCACATTAACTAATTCTATGGCATATGTGCCACCTCTCACCAACAATAGGGATCAACTAATTTTTCAGGTATCTGTCACCTCCCACCTGCAACAACAGATACCACATTCACTAATTCTACAGGATATGTGCAACTTCCCACCAACAAAAGGTATAAGATAGACTAATTTTACGGGATATCTGTCACCTCCCACCCGCAACAGGGACCAAGTTGATTAATTTTGCGGAATACCAGCCAACTCCCACCAGCAACAAATACCAGGTCGACTAATTTTACGAGATACATGTCACCTCCCACCAGCAATATATATCATGTCAACTAATTCTACGGTATACGTTCCACCTCCCACTAACAACACTTACAATGTAAAAAAACAGCAATCCCAAAAAAAAAATCCCAAAAATGCCTGACACAAAATTCAATATAACATAAGAAAATTTCCATAAATCAAATTTAAACATTGCATATAAGCTAAAATCATACAGTACTTAACAAACTCTCTTTCCCTAAAATTACCAACAGATTTCACAAAAAAGGTAAAAAAAAAAAAACAGAACTGGATTGGAGAATCCAATAGCTCAATTGAGTAACTAGTAAACATTCACCCTAAGAGTTTGATTCCTCCACTTATAATTCCCTTCCCCTACCTCAAAAAGAGGATAATTACTTACGTAGGGAGAAAAGTGATCAAGAGTCTGATTGAACCAGTGTTCTTCTTTGGTTAAATACTTATTTTCCGAATTGATTTGCTGAAGAAAAAACTGAGGAGTTGAGATTCCGTTTGAGATTATCAGCAATTGCGAGAAGAAAGCAATGAGTAGAGCTAACATTGTTTGCTTCATCCTTTTGCTTCGTCGCTTTGGGTCTCAACAAAAGAAAGGTTCGAGTCCCTCCTTCATTTATACTCCGAGTTTTGGCTTCGAGACTCGGAATTTAATTAGATTTTAATATAAATATCATGAATAAAAAAACACTTAAATGAGACATTTGGCAATATGAAATTATAATTTCAAATGAGGTTTGGACATGAATAACATAATTTGAGATACTTAATTGTAGTTTTAATATTTTCTAAATGTAAAACTTACTTATAAATTTAATAATTTATAAATTATTTTAAATTTTATTTAAAAAGATTCGTGTTCAGTATGAAAATCAATTGTTTATATTACGTGAAAAAATATATTGAAGAATAATTAGTACTATTGTTGATTATTGATAATTGTAATTTTATAAAATTTATGTGTATTTAAATGTTTGTAATCACAAATATTTATTTATAGAAACATAAAAATATACGATTTATCAATATGAAAACTTAGGATCTGATATTTTATTTATGAACTATGATTTATTCATCTGATAAGATTGTATAAGAATTAAGTATTTAATAGTTTTCACAATTTATAGAGTTTTCATATATGTTTATAAAAGGAAATAAATATAAATTATGTATTCAAATATAATTTCAATTTCATATCACATATTCAAAATTCTAAAAAAATAATATTATATCATCAGTTCATTATTTGATGATCCTTTTTGTCGTTTGTTGAAACATCACAAATTGTATCATTTGTTCCAACTAATATGTCGTATCTTCTACGATATTAGTAACAAACAAAAAATTATGTCAAGTTATATATTTAGACGGTCAATCAAAATAATTATATTTATTAGTTAAATATATATCATATAATAAAAAATAAAATATATATTTATTAACTATTATTTTGATGAAAAGTTACATAGTATAATTTTTGGACAATTTATACATTTAACTGATTGGCTAAAATACTTATGTTTGCTATTATTTTAGGCAAGTATATACCTACTAAACTATTATTTTTAGCGAATTTCATATTTAAACTAACAATTATTTTACCTATCTCAACTATCACTATACCTTAAAATAATTTTATTCGCTAGCCAAACACATCTTGATATTAAGTTGGTCTAATATTTGTTAAATTATCAATAATCGTGTGTACACTAACTAAACATCGAGGTATATTTTAATACAAAAAGAATAATATTTGAGGTATGAACCTCAAAAAAGAAAATAGATAAAAAGAAAAAGGAATTGTTATATATATAAAACTCACAAAATATAATAGTTTAAATATGTTTTGTTTTTTTAAAAAATAGTTACGGCAAAGCTATAACCAACTTAAGTTTTACTACCCTTCACGATGAGTGTTTAGTTCCCTTGAGCACTATTAAATAATTTCATTTTTTAATTTTTTTTTATCAATCCACAACGTCAATTTCTGAATCCACCGCTATATAATATGGCCTAACTTACAAGAAAATTTCAAAGAACACAAAGGACCTTGTTAACAATATGATCTCAAGCTCATAAAACATAAAATATAACAAACATTTTTCTTATACTTTTATTCATTAAAAATAATCAACTTTAATTTCTGACAGTAGAGCCTAACTTTCAAGAAAATTTTTAAAGAACACAAAGGACCTAGTAACAATATGATCTCAAGCTCATAAAACATAAAATATAACAAACATTCTTCTTATACTTTTATCCATTAAAAATAATCAACTTTAATTTATGACAGTAGAGCCTAACTTTCAAGAAAATTTTTAAAAAACACAAAGGACCTAGTTAACAATATGATCTCAAACTCATAGAACATAAAATATAATCAAATATCTTTCTTCTTTTTTTCATTAAAAATAATAGTTGCACATACAACCAAACTATAAAGTTTGAAAAATGCAAATACACATCTTTTTACATGTAAAAAATAAACAAATTACCTTACCCACCCCCCATGACTAGAATTTTAGAAGGAAAAGTTGAGCATGTCCATGCTTAAGTTCTCCATCATGAGAGTTTCCATAAAACCACAACTATAATTTGGAGTAGCAATTGGCATCATTATGTTGTCATTGTAAGTTCCAAATTTATTGGGCTTTATGAAGTGACAACTTGAAGAAATAGCCACAATTGGAATGTTGTCACAATTGCACATTTCAATCATATAGCCATCTGGATCATGCAAAAATACTTGATCCACTTTGATCCCTTCTTCCTCTACTAATGCAATCACATACCTTATTCCCATCTCATCTAATCTCCTTTTCACCAAATCAACATCAGTACACTGTTTAATACAAAAACATGTCATATCATCAATAACAAAAAAAAAAATGTCATAGTAAGTGTATCGACTTGTGGTCTAGTTGTCGATGAAGTACGATAATAAACACTCTTTCTTTGTTGGGTGATATATTGAACAAATGAGTGAAATATTGAGCAAAAATGAATTGTTAGATAAATGGATGTCGTTTGATCGTCAATTAAATCAAGGACAAGTCACCTTTAGTTAAATTGAAAAAAAGGTAATTCTTTATATATTTTACTTATATAAAAAGAATAATTAATTTAACTCCGAATTTTTGGATTTTGATAGAATGGTTTGAATAAACTCCCGACAAAAATAGAAGTGAAAATGACATTCAATGTATTTTTGTAGCTATCACATTAACCTGCCTACTGACTTTAATAGAAGAAGATAGTGAATATAATGTCAACATAATAATTGGTTTTTCTGTCCAATATAACTTAACACATTGTTAAAGAGTAATAAATAAAATATTAATGTTACTTCTCATTCTTTGAATATAATATATTTGAGAAATGACTACAAACTACGTATATGAAAATAAAGATAAGTCAGGAACTATAAAGTAATAAATTATTTGAAAATACACATTTATTTTAATATAATGGACGAAAGGAATGCCATATTAAAGTTTGTCCTTGTTGCTTCCTTTTTAATTTACATCAACTTATATAATTTAAAGCAAATTTAAATTAATCGAAGTTTTAGTGCTTGTAAGAAATATTTGATGCAAAATATATATTAAAAAAAAACTTATTTAATTGAATATGAAATAAATATATCAATACTTATAATCTTAAATATTATTACTAATATTTTTGTAACTATAAATAGGCATTTGGAGATAAAATATGGGATACTTGAAAAAAAGAGTAACATGATTTTTCTTTAAAAAACATTTGAAAATCAAGTGATTTTTGGACATGCATTTAACTTGAATAAATAAAAAAGTTAGAATTTTTTAAGTGAAAAAGTATTCACTCAAAAAACTCATTAAAAAATAACTTTTTCAAACTTGAAACTCATCTCCAAATTACTATTTTTTGAATCAGTCAATTGTATAGACAAACATTATTTTTTTATTTTTTTTGTATGGATAAACCGGGGCTATATTTTTAAAAAAACTTATAATTTTAAATATGGTATGATATTTGTATGATTATAAAAGGAATTCTCTCATAATATATAAAACAAAAAACTTATACTCTATCCATTTCAAAATAAGTATCACTTGCAAAAATTAATTATCCTAAAATAAGTATCATCTCAATAATTAAAATAAAATAAATCTATTCTTTTTAATTATATCTTTATACTTTTTTTTCTTGATACTAGTCATTTTCCTTAATGAACTAGTATCAAGAAAATAAAGTATAAAGATATAATTCATTAAAATAATATATATATATATATATAAATTTTATTTTTGTGCATTCTTTCTCCTTTTTGTGACAATAAAAGAGTATTTTTGGTCCATTCTTTCTCCTTTTTGTGCACCTTTAATTGGCCACCCACATCTCAAAAGTAGTAAATCTAAAGTACCAAAAGTCAACAAATTTGGTGGAAAAGTTGAAAGGTAATGACAGAACAATAAAAGGTGAAAAAAATAGTAGTCTAATAAATTATTTCTCCAACTTTTCTTCAAAAAATAATAAATTAATTTAATGTTGTTTTTTATATGTATAATAATATTTAATTTTTTATTTTGCTTTTAATGATGCTTTATTATAAGAGTGATATTATATTTTTAAGATTAAAAATTGTTTAATATTTTTAATTTAAAAAATCGCAATTTAAAAAAAAATAGATTTTGTGTGAAGACAAACTAAAAATGGGAAAAGGAGTACATGTTTTTGACATTTGGTAAAGATGATGAAAAAAGAAAGAAGGATAGAAAATTAAATTGCTCACAATATTTTTCCACCTTATAAAGAGTCATAGAGGTAGGTAACTAAAAATAAATAAATTGTATCACATAATGTAGAGTGCAACAAAACAAGGAAAGAAGGATAGGAGATTACTTGTAATCGATCTGGTTGTTAGATCCAAGACTTGGCCCGAATATTTCATAACTGTTTCATTCGAAAGTTAGGTCAGGGAAAATAACGATACTATATTGGTTTCATCGCCCCCATCAGATCAAACAACAGATCTTTCCACTAATGGTTTCATTCTCCCATTGAGAGGATCAAAAGCGCGATAAAAAAAGATAGATTCACAGTGTTATAATCTCGAGCTTTGGGGATGAAAATGGTTCAAGTTTTCAACAGTGAAACTTACAACAGTTGATGTGAAAATTAAATTAACCCGACTTTAAAATTAGTATTAGATAATTGAGGGGGGGAAAGCGTAACATCATATTCTTTCCTCTTTCGTTTTCATCCCTACCATTTAAGGAATATTTGATTATGTACTTCACCATAATTATTAATTTAATTATACATTATAAGATTATTCTCTACTATTTAGGGCACATGAAACCAAAATAGAAAAATAAACACATAAGCACCCCCTTACAATGTATAATAAAATTATTTCTAAATCGTCAACTAAATGTCATAATAATTTAATATATGAATATCTTATTTCTTATCTATCTATTAAACGTCGCATAAGTTATACGAAAATTAATACATGAATAATTTCTTTCTTATCCAACTATCAAATGATCATTTAATTAATTTATAGATAAAAAGTGAGTTCTTCCACCTATCGTAATAGTCTTTTGGGTTGAGCT